TGAACTATTTTTTAATTACAGCTGATCATATCATCATAAAACTGGTAAGTGGGTTAATTATTGTGATCTACCCATTGCAACAGAGAAATACTGGGAAATCTCTGTAGACTGATGGCATTTCATGCTGTTTAGCCTTAAGCCGCCTTTCCACTGCACACGACAAATGACAAACGACACACCGGAAGCCATTCATTTCATTTCCAATGTGAGCTGTGTGGAGTGCCGATCATCTCTGTATGCGGAAAATTCGTATCTGATTTGAGCAGCGGATAGGTTAAAATATTGAAACTCCTATGACTGGATCGTATGTGACTGATCGATCTGTGTGTGCGAGATGAGAAATAGAAGTTTCTTTCATTATTTTTTGAATCAGAAAAATATATATATTATAAAACATTTATTTTTTCTAATATAGTATTAAAAAATATTTTTTAATGTTGTCTCAACATTCTCTCTTAAAATGTTTAGCAGTCTATAAGCCTGTGATCAGTTTTTAGTATTCATTGATTAAATCATTCACTCAACCTTCATGAACAGAGAATAAAGACTCTTGCTTTTACATTTCTTTATTTTGGACACCATGAGAATCCTGCTTCCATGGTGCATGACAAAACTGAAAATTCTCTGCGACTGCCACAAAGAGGGCTTATTCCGACAGTCATGTCCTAATGTCGTGTGCAGTGGAAATCCGGCTTTATAATCTTAAAATGTGAGCAAAATCCCCTGTTTTGCCATCACTTTGGATTTTACGCTAGAGAATCCTTCAAATACTAGCTCTAAAGTGACGTTGGTGAAGTACAGTAGCAATGGTTTCTGCTGTTTTGATGTCAACTGCAGATGTGAATGAATGGTGGAAGAAAGTAGTTCCTTATACAAAAGCATTTTTGATACTCTCTGTGTTTATATACAAGATTATGCCGTTGAACTGTTGTAAAATACACATTGTATTTATTTATTTTTAGTAATTTGTAGAGCTTGTAAATTTATTTTTTATCTATAAGTAATAAATAACTAGTTAATAATTTTATTTTACTACCAACCACCAATCTAGCAAATAGCCAACCATTAACATAAACTAAGCAGAATCGTGTAACAACATTCAGTTACTAATGTCTGGCATTAACACCTGGTCCATCTTAACTTTCTTCAAGGTATGTTTGTTATACAAAAACCAAGCACAGCAGGTAGTGCAGGATCACAAACGACCACTAAAAAGTGTCACCACCAAAGAGATAAGACATTGCATGCAATCCTACGCAATCTTCTCTAGCATTGTGGGAGAGTCGACATACCGATCCATCTTCACTGAACAATGAGAAATTTCAAATGCCTAAGTCTGGAGCAGCTTCAACATGTTGCCTGAAACCGCTTCAATAACAGAAAGTGAGGAGGAATGTTAAGGGGCTGATCTGCCTTCACCCTGGAAAATTTCAGTTTAGCCTGTTCTGGCAAACTGCTAGGATATTTTTTTTTCTGTCATGCTAATGTATTGCAAAACAAGTGGAGGTGTCTGGGATTAATTCATGCAAAAGGTCTTTGTATGTGCATGTGAAGTTTAGATTTATTGTAACTTGGTGAAAGAGCCATTATTATGTGTTTTTTTTTTTTTTTTGAAATCACCTTCCTTGCAGTGTGTAACAGCTTTAAGTTTGCAAAAACATTCAGCTGAGGTTATCTGCATAGACATGGGAAAACTTGAAAATATGTTCATAGTTATTTTAACTAACATTGTATTAACCAATTTTATTATTACGTGGCTGTCTGAAATACTTGATTCGGGCTGTTCAGACATGAGATTACAAGGTATGTTATTCCGGGATAACAACCGCTAAATAATCCAGGCTCATCTGGTAATTAGGAATCATGCTGATTGCCAATAAAAATGTTCAAATGTATCCTTACACCCACAATCATAAATCTGCCTGTCCATCACACTCTGGTTTTTAACAATTTTTGACTGTTTGGCATCATTTTGTTATTAACAAACATTACGTAGTTTAGTATATGCTTAATTTATCTTTGCATATTTGACTGTTTGGTGCCATCTTATGACTGAATAACGTGCAGATTAGTGCATACTCCATCAGCTGCTTTTGTTTCTGTCAGCTTTGCATTTAATAAAAAATTAATACACTTTTTTTTGGCTCAGAACAATGTTTTATTGTCTAATTATTATGTTTTGTGTCAAGTAGTCATGTAAAAGAATGGTAAATTACCTCTAAGACGGTTGTTTTCACAGCATAAAGGCCTTCAGTCTTATACCACGCTTCATGACAGACTTTATTCTGTGATAACAACCTCCTTGATGTTCTTTATCCCTAACTTAACAAGCGCAATGTTAGGTTTTAATAATCCATTAGTAAATGTTGAACAAGAATTGTTTATTGTTTGTTCATATCATGTTAGTAAATACATTATAGTAACTATCTGTGCCGTGTTGTAAAGAGCTACAAATATTTAAAATTCTTGCCAGAAATAATAATTAAATAAAGTGAATCTTACATTCTTTTTAATAATAATCTAATAAATTGATATGCAGATCTAATAAGTAACATATTTGTTTCTATTACTCTATCTATTTTTACATTTATTTTTGTAATATTTTGTTGATTTTAATCTAATTGTATTTATTTGTTTGTTTTTTCGGCTGACACAGTATCTTTTATTTGATTAAATCTGCAAAATGTTAAACTCATTTTTTATTATCATTCATTCTCGGCTTAGTCCCTTTATTAATGTGGAGTCGCCACAGCGGAATGAACCGCCAACTTATCCAGCAGGTTTTTAATGCAGCGGATGCCCTTCCAGCCACAACCCATCACTGAGAAACATCCATTTACACTCATTCGCACACATACAATACAAACAAATTAGCTTAACATATTCACCGGTACGGCATTTCTTTGGACTGTGGGAAAAACCGGAGCACTAGGAGGAAACCCACCGGAACGCGTGGAGAACATGCAAACTCCACACAGAAATGCCAACTGACCCAGCCGAGGCTCAAACCAGCGACCTTCTTGCTATGAGGCGACAGCACTACCTACTGCGCCACCGTGTCGCCCTATTATTATTATTAATTAATATTATTATGGCCAATGCAATGGCACAGTAGGTAGTGCTGTCGCCTCACAGCAAGAAGGTCGCTGGTTCGAACCTCGACTCAGTTGGCGTTTCTGTGTGGAGTTTGCATGTTTTCCCTGCCTTCGCGTGGGTTTCCTCCGGGTGCTCCGGTCTCCCCCACAGTACAGGTGGTACAGGTGAACTGGGTAGACTAAATTGTTTCCCAGAGATGGGTTGCGGCTGGAAGGGCATCCGCTGCGTAAAAACATGCTGGATAAGTTGGCGTTTCATTCCGCTGTGGCGACCCCAGATTAATAAAGGGACTAAGTCGACAAGAAAATATATGAATGATTTAATATTATTATAATTAATTATTATTACTTTGATATGACAGGATACTTTAGTACAGTCTGAGGTCATAGAATACTGAAACTAATGCATTACATTTTCCAATAAAAAGTGCAGCTGTTTTCAACATTGATAATAATAAGAAATGTTTCTTGAGCACAACAGCAATGTTACATTGTAAAATACACACACAATGGGTTTCCCTTATGGGTGCCAAAAAAATTACTGGCATTCCTACACTTGTGGTTACATTTTGTCCCCACAACATGAGGAATACAAACTACACATGCACAAAGACAGACAAGTACACACTTTGATCAAATCATTTCAGAAAAAATGACTAGAACATTTCAATATATTAATACAGTCAGACTTTTTCAGTAATAACAATGCATTGGATGGAACAAGCTACATTTTAAAATATTAACAATGCCTATTTTAAGAATTTTAATACTAGTCTAATGTGTGATAATCACACCTGCTCATTTGCATCACAAAAACGAAAGCCTTAGACGCCATCAGAGAAATGTCAGCAATATTGCAATATTTTAAAATGATTGACAGAAACTGTTAAATGCATACTTGGTTAAATACTGGTGAAATCCATAATCATTCATGAGAAAAGGTTTCAGTGTCATGAGCTTCACACATTGCTTCACTCAGAAATGCCAGCCAGCAACTGTGAATGTAGTGGAAAAAAGAGGCTTGGCTTTTCCTCCAGTAACCTTGTTTAAAGTTACACACACAAAGAAGACAGTGTTTGCAGACTTCTTTTCTTTTTTCTATGATTACTGTATATAAGTGCAGTTGTAAATATATTTTGCTCCTGTGCATATTTAACACTAATGAGAATAGCATAAAATGTTTTAAGGGTTTTCGGGAGTTTTTGATGCCATGAACCCCCATCTTAAAATGTAAAAGGGCTTTCTTAAAATATTTTATGCATTTATATTGTAAAAACATGCATGTGCCTAAAATAATAATTAACAAAATATTTAAGGGAAGAAAATAATTTCTGCTGATTTTAAAATATATTAAAAATTGGTGAAAAATACATTAATTTATTTTAAGAAAATTAGATTTATTTTATCATATTTTTGCATTCATTTTTAATTACTTATTTATGAAATTATTAGAAAAATCCATTTATTTATTTGGTTCTTTCTTTGAAACTAACGTGCAATTAATATTCATTGCATATTCATTTACATATGAGGTATAATTCATATTCATACTTATTATACTTATAATATAAGAATATATACTTAATGAAGTTTATATTTTATTTAATTATTTATTTATTTTTTTGTCCCAAACATTATTCGTACTTTTAAACAGACCTAAAAAAAAATGCTTGCCTTTACTTCAAATTACCCTGTTTCAAATAAACAGTGTGTGTGTTAATGTAAAAACGTCTAATGACTGCTACTGAATATGCTTTGGTCTGCTGTGCATATTTAACAATAATGAAAGCCTCATTCCTCCACACAGCTGCGAGGTATTTGTTTTTATCTCCAGCAGGATAGGGGAGTGTTTCTGGAGGTGTGGTTTGGCTGTCTGATGGTATATTACACAGAGAAAAGAGAGAAAGCACACTCAGTTTTTCACCGAGTGTGTCCGCAGTGTTTTTGACCCACATCAGCCCTTTGCAAACTGGGGAAATAAAACTGAACTTTAACTGTTTCCTGTCTGAAACTTCCGACCAAAACTACTGAACAAAGGTAAGAATCGAGATTCATATAGCTGGAACTTTTGGTCTTAGATATCAAGCTTGTAAATCTACTGTCATTTACCTTAAAAAACCCCAGTGGTAACCTAAATGAACAAACCTTGTTGCTGTTTATTTAGAGCAATAACACTCAGGTGTGTCATAATTTATGTTTAACATATGTTCACATATTTGACCACACCTATTGGCCCATAAAGAACTCAAGTGGTTTATGGTATTTGCAGAGTGCAAATTTGGACACCTTTGAACAGGGATGGTTAGTTTAATGTACTTCATAGATGGACAGTTTAAATATTTATTTTTTGCATGTCGACATTTTTTTTAAGTGACTACCAATTGAAAAACTACACATAAAGCCTAATGTAAGCTGTTGCGTCTGTAATATTAGGTATGCTGCAATATAGCATTTTTATTTTGGTTATGGAGCAAGTAACTTAGGTATTTATAGTATCTCAAATGTATTGTTACAGTATTGTAGACCTAATAATTCACATTTCTATAAATTACTATACAGCGGGGAAGTATTGAACATGTCATGTTTTTGACATGGAATTGAACCAGATTTTGGTAAAAACCCAAACAATACAAAATCCGAAACATTAGTTATGCGTACTTTATATAAAAGGTTTATATATATATATATATATATATATATATATATATATAAAAGCTTAAAGATGCCTCTTACATGTAGAATGAAGTCACATGAATTGCTCAGGTGTGAAATGTGACTTCAACAGAGTGTAAAAATCTTGCTGGTTCTGTGGGTCTCGTCTATCAAATCTGACCTTTAATTTATATTTTCTATTGGATTCACGTCAGGTGATTGGCTGGGCCATTCTACAGCTTGATGTTCTTTCTCTGAAAGCATTTGAGAGTTTCCTTAGCTGTTTTGGAACATTGTCTTGCTGAAATTGTCATCTTGGTTTCATCTTCATCATCCTAGTAAGGTAGATGTTGGATTGATGCAGCTAATATTAACTTACAGTGATTAAGGACAGAGGGTTGCTGAACAACTACTGAGAGGTTTTAGCTGCTGTCTGGGCTTTCACTGCCTTTCTACACCTCCCTTTCTTCATGTGTTCAATACTTTCCCCTGCGCCATTTAATTTTATTACGTATTACCTAATTTGTAAACTAATTAGATTTGTTTTCTTTGCGTATATAGATTTCTTTGGCTGTTACCAATATCTTGAAAATTTGAAGTCAATGGCACCTTTAGACATATGTTTTCAGAGAAAAATGGTGATGTGTTCAATAATTATTTTCCCCACTGTAGGTATGATATGCATTGTTATGCACTATACCAGGGGTGGGCAAACTCGGTCCTGGAGGGCCGGTGTCCTGCACAGTTTAGCTCCAACCCTAATCAAACACACATGCTTATAGATTTCTTGTGATCTTAAAGACACTGATTAGCATGTTCCGGAGTGTTTGACTAGTGTTGGAATAAAACTCTGCTGGGACACCGGTTCTCAAGGATCAAGTTTGCCCATTCCTGCACTATACCATTTAAATGAATGGTTTTCTAATAGTAAGGCAGTTGTTGTAGTAATCTGTGGTTATAGAGTAGGTCAAAGTTTTAAGTACACCAAATAATGAAAATTCTGTCATTATTTACCCACCATCCATTTATTCTAAATCTAGAGTCCATCCTCTGTTAATCACAAAAGATATTCTGAATTTGTACGAAAACAAATATTTTCGCTGCTTGTTAAAATGAACTGAAACACAGAATTCTTGAGATTTTTTTGGTACAACTTGTGGTTTATGTCCAATCCACTTAACATGTTAAGTTAACTTAATCGATTTGGGTTGGGACACCGAACTAATTGTGTGGAACCCTGCCTTTTTTACAGTAAAGAATGTTCGTAACAAGACATTTGAGGAAAGCCGTTATTTATTTTCGTAATAATTTTTCTACTATTGAAATCAATGGCAACTGCTGACTTTGTTACCACTTTGGTACTCTTTAAATGATCTTCCTCTGTGTTCCACAGAAATAAAAAATACAGGATTGCAACAACTTGAAAGTGAATAAATGATAAGTGACTTTTCATTTTTGAATGAACTAACAAGAATTATGTCATGCAGAATAATGAATTTAATAAACAACAAAGATGATAGTAATATGCATGCAATTAATCAACTATAGTATTGTGAATAAGTGTTTTCAAACAAAAATACAATGTGCATAGAACAAACTTCACGATTGAGTGGCATTTCAGCTTTACATAAAGTGTAAGTAAGTGCTCTGGCATAGTGTTTAAACCTACATTATCATGTGACTTTAAAAGTCCTTGATTACACCTAACAATCCCAAATATAGCAATTTGAACAGGAAGAGGCCACGGAAGCACTTTTCATTGTACGGGTTTAAAAAAACAGCTTTACACGGCTGGCTGCAGCAGGAGACTTCATATCTAAGATGGCATTTAAAGCAAACATCACTTCAAGGAAAGTTTGCATATAACAGGCAGTGTTTACATAGAAGGATCTCACATCCTTGTAATAAAATCATTAAAACATTGATAATTGCAATAAGTTGTTTAACAGGTATTAGTTTTGGAGGTCAGGAAAAAAAAGAGCAAACAAAAAGCACTTTCTCATATCCCAATATTTTCCATAATTGTATTAACAGTTGCTAAGGCATGGGTTTCAAACTCGATTCCTGGAGGGCCGCAGCTCTGCAGTTTTGCTCCAAACCTAATCTAACACAGCTGATTCAAATAATCAAGAACACTATTAACCAACCCACACCTGCTTAAACTAGAGACTATTGACCTTATTCTAAAATGCGGAAGTGTGCCTGTTTTTGCGATTGTTTCAGAACTTCCGATTCAGTCGCCAATGGGAGAAATGACTAGGAATAATAAACGGCAGAAAACTACTTGCTCTACAAACAAATATTTGCATGACTATACAGACCAAGTAGAATAATATAATAAGAAAATATCAGTTTGCATCATCAAACAGCGAAACAAGCAGTTTTTAATGTCTACAAATGAATGGAAGTGAATGAGACAGGAAGTCTCGAGCCAAAAAGATTAAAATGGCTGCACCAGCTCGTCGACGAAGAATAAGGTGAATTAAGCAGGTGTGAGTTGGAGGTGGTTGGAGCTAAACTGTGCAGAGCTGTGGTCCTCCATGAATTGAGTTTGAGACCATTGTGTTACAGGGAAAAAGGGAGATTGAGGTGAAACAAATTGAAAAAAGATTCAATATAAGAAAAAATGCCCATTAGATGACATCAGTTTACCCAATGACCTTATTTAACCATTAATTTAAAATACAGGAACACACAAGGAAAACATGAGTGAGAATTCACAGTATTATATACTACATGATGCATCAGATTTGATTTTATGTTTTTTTTTTAAATAATTTTAAGTAATCCAACTATCACAAACATTTTAGTAAAATGCATTAGCCAATCAGATCAATCTCCTCATGGAGTTTTTAATGAAGGTATTGCCTATTAAGAGAAAACAAAATACCCTTACCCTGTGTGTGTGTGTGTGTGTGTGTGTCTGTATATATGCATGTATATATATATATGTATATATATGTGTGTATATATATATATATACACACAGCTGAAGTCAGAATTATTAGCCCCCCTTTGAATTCTTTTTCTTTTTTTAAATATTTCCCAAATTATGTTTAAAAGAGCAAGGACATTTTCACAGTATCTGATAATATTTTTCCTCTGGAGAATGTCTTATTTGTTTTTTTTTAGCTAGAATAAAAGCAGTTTTAATTTTTTAAACAACAATTTAAGGATAAAATTATTAGCCCCTTTAAGCTAAATATTTTTTTTTCCATAATCTACAGAACAAAGCATCGTTATACAATAACTAGCCTAATTACCCTAACCTGCCTAGGTACCCTAATTAACCCCTGCCTAGTTACCCTAATTACCCTCATTAAGCCTTTAAATGTCACTTTAAGCTGTATGGTAGTGTCTTAAAAATATCCAGTATAATATTACTTATTGTCATCATGGCAAAGATAAAATAAATCAGTTATTAGAAATGGGTTATTAAAACTATTATGTCTAGAATTATCTTCTGTCTCCATCAAACAGAAATTGGGGAAAAAAATAAACATGGGGTAAATAATTCAGGGGGGCTAATTGTACACACACACACACACACACACACACACACGCACACACACACACACACACACACACACACACACACATAAAAGGGCTAATAATTTTGACCTTAAAATTATTACTATAAACTGCTTTTATTCTAGTTGAAATAAAACAAATAAGACTTTTTCCAGACGAAAAAAATATTATCAGACATACTGTGAAAATTGTTGCCTTGTACTTGTATGTGTACCAACAACAAAGTTGAATCTAATCTAATCTAATTCTGACTTTAACTTTGTGTGTGTGTGTGTGTGTGTGTGTGTGTGTGTGTGTGTGTGTAGCACTATGAAACAAATGTCTTTTTGTGGTTGCTACATCCTACATTTGGTCATTGATCTACATTGACCATTTCATCATTTTAAGGCAGAAGAATACGTAGACACTAAATGCCATTCAAGAGAAGTATTACAAATATTAAGATACTTTTTTGTCACTCACTTGTGTCAGAAGTCATTCTTCACAGATTTATGCATGTACGGGTGATAAAGACTTTGGGCTCTATTTTGACGGTCCAAGCGCAGAACGCAAAACGCAGGGCGCAAACCCTTTCAGGGCGTGTCAGAACGCATTTTTGCTAATTTACGGACGGGAAAATGCGCATTGCGCCAAAGCGCATGGGCTAAAAGGGTTGAATATATTTTCTTAATAAGTTATAGGTGTGTTTTGAAAATAAACTAATTAGAGTCTCATCTCCCATTTCCTTTAAGACCCAGCTGCGTCGCGCCAAGAGCGCATTCACTATTTACAGGACGCAAAGTAAGTCTAAGTGGAAAAAAATGAGCATTTCACAAGCAAACAGTTAACAGTTGACAGTTTTTTTTAACAGAAAACTGTTAAACAGAGCATCTACTGCGTGAGAATGAGAGATAATGGATCACTTTCGCTGATGGATAGGGAAACCTTTAAGCACAGACATCAATTAGCCTATAAATAATTAATTTCGTTTGTTAAGCGCAAAGATTTGTTTCAAAACTATTTCTAAATTCAGTTCTAATATTTCCACCAAACGAATAAATGAACAATATTAACGAGGTGTAGTCAAAATACTGAGTTATTTCCAAATACACCTGCCATGCCCCATATGGTCTAAAACCTGACAGGTGGGCAAATCTAAGCTTGTTTTTAATAAAACAAATATAAATATGGATTTAATAAATAATACTGCTAATAATAATAACATTATACAAAAGCAAATTGTTATGAATTAACTGCAAAAGCCACCCGAGATGAAGAAGACATAAAAGCAGTGATTTTTAATATTTTATGTAGGCTTGAAAATAATATGTTTTGTAATATTTTAATCCTTTATATTTATATCCTATATCTATTCTTATTATATCCTATATATATCCTTAATATTTACATTTTTTCATATGTAAATATATGTGCCTATTGCTCTCTTGTGCGTATTAAGCAGTGCGTAAGCGAGGCGCAACTCTGCGCCAGAGTTTAGACCGGGTTTGCATTGGTCTAATGAAAAATCTATTACAGTTTCTCAAAATAGCAACGCGCCAGCGGTCCGCTTTAGAACGCCTTCCTTTTTAGACCAGAACGCCTATGGGCGCACAAATGAGCGCTAATGCAATTGCTATTTAAACAGCAGAGCGCAACTCCTCAAAACGACTCTTGCGCCAAGCTGAAACTACCAAAAGACTATTGCGCCACGCCTTGCGCCACACTGCGCCGGGTGTATGATAGGGCCCTTTGACTTAAGTGAAGTTACTAAAAATCACAGAGCAAGAGACACACAAAGAAGAAAAAACAAAACAAAACATGCACCTCAAATATTTTTTGTAAAGATTGTGCAACTGGCCAACACAATCTCACGGCAATTCGTAACTTTTTCATTTAGTGGCTAATTCGTATGAATTCGTACGATCTAATTCGTACAATTTAGTACGATTTGCTTATCCCCCAATGACGGTTGGGGTTAGGGGTGGGGTCAGGTGCCACGCCTCCTTTTTAAAATCGTACCATTTCGTACGACTGAACTCGTACGAATTCGTACGAATTAGCCACTAAACTGGCAAAACGTAAAATACTTACGTTTTCTCGTGAGATCAGGCTGAACTGGCATATGAAAAAGATCTGTCTGGGTCATTAATCATTCTGACATTCTTCAAGAATACACAAGCTTCCTGTATTTCCGGTTTTCCATGGTTTCATACAAAACAAAGCCACATTTTTCCTAACGTTGCAATGCTCTGAAAGCTTTTTTTTTTCCCTGTCAAGACAGCAGAACTGTTTCAGCAGAGCATACATTTATGCTAAAGGCGGTTTTGCTGTGAACACACTGTAATATTGTTTACAATAGATCTACATAACGTGTTTAATAGTTTTTAATTATTATTTATGTTTTCTAATTACATTAGATCTGGATCTAAGCTCTGATTATCTTGAAAATTTAATAGAATGAATTTGCATTGACATTATAATTTAATCAAACATTACTATCTTAGTCATGTAAATTACAGCACAACATTTTTATTATTAGCTTCCTAGATTTTCTACATATTTCAATATTACTTCTTCTAGAATATGTTTAAAGACTGCTAGTCAATTTGTTAAACAGTAAAGCAGAGATCAAAGTCCTGGATATAAACAGGAAAATTTGAACTACAGGAAGCTGTTAATAAATAAATATTTTACAATAAATAAATAAATCTAGCTGGAATAAATAGTTTTGTAATGTCTAATTTTTCCTGAATGTGGATGACTTCAATGTTTCAGGATAAACAAGTATTTAAATGCACAACTAACAATTATTCTTATCTAATCCACAGAGCCTGGTCCAAGAAAATATCCAGAAAAAAATATGCCAGCTCTAAATAACTTTCAGGGGCCAGTAGCTGGAGTGTTCCTTGAAAATTCAAATGAAACCATTACAATATACCAAGCCTACAAGAAGCGCTTGTTAAATCCAGGATCATGCCTTGCACTGCTAGAAGCCCAAGCTGCAACAGGAGGAATCATCGACCCAGTCAAAAACAGGACATGCTCTGTGGAAGATGCAGTAAAGGAAGGAATTGTGGGATGTGAATTGAAAGAGAAACTTCAGTTAGCTGAGAGGGCCATCGTGGGCTACACAGATCCCTACACCAACCAAAAAATTTCACTCTTCCAGGCCATGCAGAAAGATGTAATACCAAAGGAATATGGCATTAGATTACTTGAGGCACAGATCTCTGCCAAAGGGATTTATGACCCTATTGAAAAATGCTACCTAACAGAAGAACAAGCCTACAGAAGAGGTCACTATGACGAAAATCTTTTCAGAGGCCAGAAGGATGCTCTAAAAGTATTCTACGACCCAAACTCTCAGGAAAATCTCACCTATCCAACCCTGATCAAGAAATGCACTGTGGCCCCAGAAACAGGTTTACTGCTGTTCCCAATATACATCACATTCAAAGGCCTCAGAAGAGGAGTTACCTCTGCAGAGCTCCTGGCATCAAAAATAATTGACCAACAGACATTTGAAAATCTACATAAGGGAAAAACCACAACCCAGGATGTGATGCTAATGGAAACAGTGAAAGAATATCTAGAAGGTAAAAAGAGCATTGGTGGAGTAGCGTTGCTGTCCACGAATAAGAAAATGAGCATCTATCAGGCAATGAGACAGGGAATAATCATGCCTGGTACAGGTTTGATTCTTCTAGAAGCACAGGCTGCAACTGGATTCATGATAGACCCTGTTGAAAACAAGACATACAGTGTACATGAAGCCATTAAACAGAAAATTGTAGGACCAGAATACCATGCAAAACTGCTTGCAGCAGAACGTGCAGTCACTGGTTATAAGGATCCATACACTGGTGAAACCATATCACTTTTTCAAGCTCTGAAGAAGGAACTGATTGTGAAGGAGCATGGGATCCGCTTACTTGAAGCACAGATTGCAACTGGTGGAATTATTGATCCCATAAACAGTCACAGAGTACCAGTAGATGTAGCATACAAGCGTGGCTTCTTCAATGAGGAGATGAACGCCATCCTTGAGGACACTGGGGATGACACTAAAGGATTCTTTGACCCGAACACAAAGGAAAATTTGACATATCTGCAACTCCTCGATCACTGTGTTATTGATCCTGCTACAGGACTCACATTGTTGCCCATTCAGGATCCATCTGGTAATCGGAATCACACATTCATTGACTATGACATCAAAAAAATCTTCAAGGGTGTCAAGGTAAAAGTGACATGTGGAAAATACATGGGAATGACAGTTTCACTGTGGGAATTACTCATGTCTGAATACTTCACTGAACAGCAAAGGCAAGATTTTATCCAGCAATACAAATCCAGAACACTGACTATTGAAATTCTAATCACCAAAGTTCTGGAGATCATCGAATATTCAGTGAAAACAGCTAAAGTGGTTTTTGAAGGTATAAGGGAAAAAGTTAGTGCAACGCAGCTTGTTGAGGCTGACATCATCACAGAGAATGATCTGAAAGACCTGAGAGAAGGAAAAAAGACTGTGAAAGACGTTACAGAGGATGAATCTGTGCAAACTTACCTACAAGGTAAACCAGGCATTGCTGGTGTGCTGCTTCCTGACTCCCAAGTAATGTCAATCTACCAAGCACGACAAAAAGGAATCTTGAGACCAGGAACGTCACTTGTTCTTTTGGAAGCACAGGCTGCAACGGGATTCATAATTGACCCAATTGCTAATCGAAAGTTCTCTGTAGATGATGCAGTGAAGGCACGAGTGGTAGGGGTTGATGTTCATGCAAAACTATGCTCAGCAGAGAAGGCAGTGACAGGTTACCAAGATCCTTACACTGGCAAGAAAATCTCATTGTTTCAAGCAATGCAGAAAGATTTAATAGTGAAAGATCATGGCATCCGTTTGCTAGAGGCCCAGATTGCTACAGGAGGCATTATTGATCCAGTAAACAGCCATCGCATTCCAGTTCATATTGCTTATAAACGAGGATACTTTGATACTGAAATGAATCAGATCCTTAACGATCCAACTGATGACACGAAAGGGTTCTTTGACCCAAATACTCATGAAAACCTCACTTACATGCAGCTTATGTCTAGATGTGTCACTGATCAAAGCACAGGCCTTTGCCTCTTAAAAATCAAAGGAAATGACAAGAGAGTTAAGATAGGGGACAGCATCAAGGAGACTTTCCAAACCACATATGTCTCAGTGAGATACGGGAGATTCAGTAACAAGAAAGTGACACTTTGGGATCTCCTCAACTCTGAATATTTGTTCGAGGAGAAAAGGCAGGAGCTGTTAAAAAGTTACAAGTCAAAAATTATCACCACTGAAGAAATCATTGCAATAATTTTAAAGATCATTGAGAGTAAAGAAGTACAAAGAAATGCTGATCTTAGTGTAGAAGGTCTCAGGGGAAAAGTCTCCATTCTGGAGCTGCAGAACCTGGGAATAATAGATGAAACAACATACAAAAATGTGCTTGAGGGAAAGCTAACAATTAAAGACCTTACCGAGATGGGCACTGTGATGAACTTCCTAAGGGGAACAAGCTGTATAGCTGGTGTCCTATTACAAAAGTCTAACCGTAAAATGAGCATCTACCAAGCCAAAAAAGAGAACCATCTTACCCCTGGCACTGCCTTGTGTCTTCTTGAAGCACAGGCTGCCACTGGGTTTATCATTGATCCAATACAAGCCAAGAAACTCACTGTTGAAGAGGCACTAAAGCAGAATGTCATTGTTCCAGAGCTGTATGAAAAACTGCTGGCTGCTGAGAAAGCTGTGACTGGTTATAAAGACCCATATACTGGAAAGAAAATTTCACTTTTTGAAGCCATCAAGAAGGACCTCATTGTAAAGCAGCATGGCATTCGTCTGCTTGAAGCCCAGATTGCTACAGGTGGCATTATTGATCCAATCACATGTTTACATTTGCCACTTGATGTTGCTTTCAGAAAGGGCTATTTTGATGCAGACTTAAACCAGATCCTTTCTGATAAGAGTGATGACACGAAAGGATTCTTTTATCCTACCACGCAAGAAAATCTGACCTACATGGATATGATGGCAAGGTGCATCAAGGATGCGGATACTGGTCTTCTCTTTCTTCCAGTCACCGAAAAAGAAAAAACACAAGAAAAATCACAGAAGTTTCTCTCAGATTTCGAGATTAAGGAGGACTTTGAAAAACACAAAGTTGTCATTCCTGTTGGTCGTTTCTCTGGAAAATCAATGTCTCTTTGGGAGATCCTTCATTCTGTATACTTCACAGATGAACAGAGGCAACAGTACTTTGAAAAGTATCGTTTGGCCAAAATAAATATCCAGGATGTTGTCACCATTGTTACCACAACTATTGAAACCCTAGAGCAGAAAGAGGCAAACTCTCAAACAACAATGGGCCTAAGAAAACCTGTTTCTGTTAAACAGTTGCATGAGTCTGGAATCATTGACACCACTACTTACAAACAGCTGCAAAATGGTAAGGAAACACTTGAAAACATGCTTAAACTTGAATCTGTACAAAAGTACTTGAAAGGCACAAGGAGTATTGCTGGAGTTAAACTTCACCCATCAGGAAAGGTGTTAAGTGTATACAAGGCAAAAAATGATGGCTTGCTTACTGCTGATGTAGCATTGTCCTTGCTTGAGGCTCAGGCAGCGACTGGCTATGTCATTGATCCAATCAAGAACACACATCACTCAGTTCTGGAGGCTGTCAAAGCTCAGCTAATTGGACCAGAGATACTAGAGCACTTACTACTGGCTGAACGAGCTGTCACTGGTTTCACAGACCCATACACAAATGAGCAAATATGCTTATTCGAAGCAATGAAAAAAGGTCTCATCCCTCAAAAACAAGGACAAAACCTATTACATGCACAGCTTGCCACAGGGGGAATTGTTGATCCAATTGGAAGCCACCGGGTCCCTGTTCAGATAGCAATAAAACAAGGATTCTTGAGCAAAGAGACCAACGATCTTCTGGCAAACATTGGAAAAAGTGAAAATGGCTTTTCAGATCCCCAAACAAAAGAGCCCCTTAATTACAGTCAACTCATGAGCAAATGTGAAAGGGATTCAACCACCAGCCTGCTGCTTCTCCCAGTGACGGAAAACAATGCTGAAAGCTCAGCCTACAATGAAGAACAAATATTAAACGTCTTCAAAGAAAAATCTGTGATCACAAATGCTGGAAAATTTGCAGACAAACGCGTATCACTCTGGGATGCACTAAACTCTGAGTATATTTCTGCAGAGAAAAGGAAAGAGTTACTAGACCAATACAAACAAAACAAACTGTCTATAGAAGAGATAACACAAATAGTGACAGCAATAATAATTGAGGTAACAACAAAAAGGCATTCTTTCAAAGGTCTAAGAAGACAAGTGTCAGCAAGTGAACTATTTGAGGCAAAAATCATCTCAAAAGAAATGATTGGCAAGCTTATAAACAATGAAGTCGATGATGAAGACATCAACAACATGGAGTCAATCCAAAAATACCTTGGTGCAACAAATTGCATTGCTGGTGTATTTGTGCAATCTACTAAACAAACAATGAGTATTTTTGAAGCCAAAAATAAGGGACTCTTAACACCTGGAACCTCTCTGGTTTTACTTGAGGCACAAGCTGCCACTGGCTTTGTTATTGACCCAGTGAAGAACAAAAAGCTGTCTGTAGAGCAGGCGGTGGCTGAAGGAATTGTTGGGATGGAATGGAAAAGCAAACTGCTCTCTGCTGAACGGGCAGTCACTGGGTACACAGACCCCTACACAGGCAAAACCATCTCTTTGTTCCAGGCATTGAAAAAAGATCTCATTGTCAAGGAGCACGGTATTCGTCTATTAGAAGCTCAGATCGCCACTGGGGGCATCATTGATCCCATACACAGCCATCGTGTTCCAGTAGAGGTGGCTTACCAAAGAGGCTACTTTGATGAGGAGATGAACAAGATCCTTGCTGATCCAGATGATGACACCAAAGGTTTCTTTGATCCCAACACACAAGAAAACCTCACATACCTGCAATTAGTGGATCGTTGTGTGAGAGACCCCAACACTTGTCTGAGCCTTCTTGTAATTGTGAAAAAGGGAGAGTATTACTTCTTCATTGATGACCATACAAAGAACATTCTTAAGTCCACAACCACAAAGAAAGCAGGAGGTAAATTCCAAGGGCAGCTGGTGACCCTGTGGGATCTGCTGTACTCCAGTTATATATCTGAGGAAAAGAGAAGAGAACTGGTGCAACAGTTTAAATCAGGCACTATAACTATTGAACAATTCCTTGAAATTGTTCTAACACTGGTGTTACAGAAATCCGTAACAAGTACCCACACCATTACCACCACCACCACAACAGAAACAACCCAAAATACAAATTTTCAAGGTATCAGAAAGGATGTGAGTGCTGATGAATTGCTGCAATCCAAAGTCATTGATGAGAAAATTTACAAAGACCTGACTTCTGGAAAAGTCACAGTTGATCATGTAAGCAAAATGGACTCTGTGCGAAAATACCTGAAAGGAACAAACAGCATTGCTGGTGTATTTGTGCAGTCTACCAAACAGACAATGAGCATCTTCGAAGCCAAAAATAAGGGACTACTGACACCTGGAACATCTCTGGTTTTGCTTGAGGCTCAGGCTGCCACAGGCTTTGTTATCGACCCTGTGAAAAATAAAAAGCTGTCTGTAGAGCAAGCAGTGTCTGAAGGGATTGTTGGAGTGGAATGGAAAAACAAACTGCTTTCTGCTGAACGGGCAGTCACAGGTTACACTGATCCCAACACAGGAAAAATAATTTCCTTGTTCCAGGCCTTGAAAAAAGATCTTATTGTCAAGGAACATGGTATTCGTCTACTAGAGGCTCAGATTGCTACAGGGGGCATCATTGATCCAGTGTACAGCCATCGTGTTCCAGTAGAGGTGGCTTACCAAAGAGGCTACTTTGATGAGGAGATGAACAAGATCCTTTCTGATCCAGATGATGACACCAAAGGTTTCTTTGATCCCAACACACAAGAAAACCTCACATACCTGCAGCTAGTCGAGCGTTGTGTGAGAGATCCTAACACTGGCCTGAGCCTTCTCGTAATTGTGAAAAAGGGAGAGTACTACTTCTTTATTGATGAACATACAAAGAACATTCTTAAGTCCACAACCACAAAGAAAGCAGGAGGTAAATACCAAGGGCAGCTGGTGACCCTGTGGGATCTGCTGTACTCCAGTTATATATCTGAGGAAAAGAGAAGAGAACTGGTGCAACAGTTTAAATCAGGCACTATAACTATTGAACAATTCCTAGAAATTGTTCTAACACTGGTGTCACAGAAATCCGTAACAAGTACCCACACCATTACCACCACCACCACAACAGAAACAACCCAAAATACAAATTTTCAAGGTATCAGAAAGGATGTGAGTGCTGATGAATTGCTGCAATCCAAAGTCATTGATGAGAAAATTTACAAAGACCTGACTTCTGGAAAAGTCACAGTTGATCATGTAAGCAAAATGGACTCTGTGCGAAAATACCTGAAAGGAACAAACAGCATTGCTGGTGTATTTGTGCAGTCTACCAAACAGACAATGAGCATCTTCGAAGCCAAAAATAAGGGACTACTGACACCTGGAACATCTCTGGTTTTGCTTGAGGCTCAGGCTGCCACAGGCTTTGTTATCGACCCTGTGAAAAATAAAAAGCTGTCTGTAGAGCAAGCAGTGTCTGAAGGAATTGTTGGAGTGGAATGGAAAAACAAACTGCTCTCTGCTGAACGGGCAGTCACAGGTTACACTGATCCCAACACAGGAAAAATAATTTCCTTGTTCCAGGCCTTGAAAAAAGATCTAATTGTCAAGGAACATGGTATTCGTCTACTAGAGGCTCAGATTGCTACAGGGGGCATCATTGATCCAGTGTACAGCCATCGTGTTCCAGTAGAGGTGGCTTACCAAAGAGGCTACTTTGATGAGGAGATGAACAAGATCCTTTCTGATCCAGATGATGACACCAAATGTTTCTTTGATCCCAACACACAAGAAAACCTCACATACCTGCAGCTAGTCGAGCGTTGTGTGAGAGATCCTAACACTGGCCTGAGCCTTCTCGTAATTGTGAAAAAGGGAGAGTACTACTTCTTCATTGATGAACATACAAAGAACATTCTTAAGTCCACAACCACAAAGAAAGCAGGAGGTAAATACCAAGGGCAGCTGGTGACCCTGTGGGATCTGCTGTACTCCAGTTATATATCTGAGGAAAAGAGAAGAGAACTGGTGCAACAGTTTAAATCAGGCACTATAACTATTGAACAATTCCTAGAAATTGTTCTAACACTGGTGTCACAGAAATCCGTAACAAGTACCCACACCATTACCACCACCACTACAACAGAAACAACCCAAAATACAAATTTTCAAGGTATCAGAAAGGATGTGAGTGCTGATGAATTGCTGCAATCCAAAGTCATTGATGAGAAAATTTACAAAGACCTGACTTCTGGAAAAGTCACAGTTGATCATGTAAGCAAAATGGACTCTGTGCGAAAATACCTGAAAGGAACAAACAGCATTGCTGGTGTATTTGTGCAGTCTACCAAACAGACAATGAGCATCTTCGAAGCCAAAAATAAGGGACTACTGACACCTGGAACATCTCTGGTTTTGCTTGAGGCTCAGGCTGCCACAGGCTTTGTTATCGACCCTGTGAAAAATAAAAAGCTGTCTGTAGAGCAAGCAGTGTCTGAAGGAATTGTTGGAGTGGAATGGAAAAACAAACTGCTCTCTGCTGAACGGGCAGTCACAGGTTACACTGATCCCAACACAGGAAAAATAATTTCCTTGTTCCAGGCCTTGAAAAAAGATCTAATTGTCAAGGAACATGGTATTCGTCTACTAGAGGCTCAGATTGCTACAGGGGGCATCATTGATCCAGTGTACAGCCATCGTGTTCCAGTAGAGGTGGCTTACCAAAGAGGCTACTTTGATGAGGAGATGAACAAGATCCTTTCTGATCCAGATGATGACACCAAATGTTTCTTTGATCCCAACACACAAGAAAACCTCACATACCTGCAGCTAGTCGAGCGTTGTGTGAGAGATCCTAACACTGGCCTGAGCCTTCTCGTAATTGTGAAAAAGGGAGAGTACTACTTCTTCATTGATGAACATACAAAGAACATTCTTAAGTCCACAACCACAAAGAAAGCAGGAGGTAAATACCAAGGGCAGCTGGTGACCCTGTGGGATCTGCTGTACTCCAGTTATATATCTGAGGAAAAGAGAAGAGAACTGGTGCAACAGTTTAAATCAGGCACTATAACTATTGAACAATTCCTAGAAATTGTTCTAACACTGGTGTCACAGAAATCCGTAACAAGTACCCACACCATTACCACCACCACTACAACAGAAACAACCCAAAATACAAATTTTCAAGGTATCAGAAAGGATGTGAGTGCTGATGAATTGCTGCAATCCAAAGTCATTGATGAGAAAATTTACAAAGACCTGACTTCTGGAAAAGTCACAGTTGATCATGTAAGCAAAATGGACTCTGTGCGAAAATACCTGAAAGGAACAAACAGCATTGCTGGTGTATTTGTGCAGTCTACCAAACAGACAATGAGCATCTTCGAAGCCAAAAATAAGGGACTACTGACACCTGGAACATCTCTGGTTTTGCTTGAGGCTCAGGCTGCCACAGGCTTTGTTATCGACCCTGTGAAAAATAAAAAGCTGTCTGTAGAGCAAGCAGTGTCTGAAGGAATTGTTGGAGTGGAATGGAAAAACAAACTGCTCTCTGCTGAACGGGCAGTCACAGGTTACACTGATCCCAACACAGGAAAAATAATTTCCTTGTTCCAGGCCTTGAAAAAAGATCTAATTGTCAAGGAACATGGTATTCGTCTACTAGAGGCTCAGATTGCTACAGGGGGCATCATTGATCCAGTGTACAGCCATCGTGTTCCAGTAGAGGTGGCTTACCAAAGAGGCTACTTTGATGAGGAGATGAACAAGATCCTTTCTGATCCAGATGATGACACCAAATGTTTCTTTGATCCCAACACACAAGAAAACCTCACATACCTGCAGCTAGTCGAGCGTTGTGTGAGAGATCCTAACACTGGCCTGAGCCTTCTCGTAATTGTGAAAAAGGGAGAGTACTACTTCTTCATTGATGAACATACAAAGAACATTCTTAAGTCCACAACCACAAAGAAAGCAGGAGGTAAATACCAAGGGCAGCTGGTGACCCTGTGGGATCTGCTGTACTCCAGTTATATATCTGAGGAAAAGAGAAGAGAACTGGTGCAACAGTTTAAATCAGGCACTATAACTATTGAACAATTCCTAGAAATTGTTCTAACACTGGTGTCACAGAAATCCGTAACAAGTACCCACACCATTACCACCACCACTACAACAGAAACAACCCAAAATACAAATTTTCAAGGTATCAGAAAGGATGTGAGTGCTGATGAATTGCTGCAATCCAAAGTCATTGATGAGAAAATTTACAAAGACCTGACTTCTGGAAAAGTCACAGTTGATCATGTAAGCAAAATGGACTCTGTGCGAAAATACCTGAAAGGAACAAACAGCATTGCTGGTGTATTTGTGCAGTCTACCAAACAGACAATGAGCATCTTCGAAGCCAAAAATAAGGGACTACTGACACCTGGAACATCTCTGGTTTTGCTTGAGGCTCAGGCTGCCACAGGCTTTGTTATCGACCCTGTGAAAAATAAAAAGCTGTCTGTAGAGCAAGCAGTGTCTGAAGGGATTGTTGGAGTGGAATGGAAAAACAAACTGCTCTCTGCTGAACGGGCAGTCACAGGTTACACTGATCCCAACACAGGAAAAATAATTTCCTTGTTCCAGGCCTTGAAAAAAGATCTAATTGTCAAGGAACATGGTATTCGTCTGTTAGAAGCTCAGATCGCCACTGGGGGCATCATTGATCCCATATACAGCCATCGTGTTCCAGTAGAGGTGGCTTACCAAAGAGGCTACTTTGATGAGGAGATGAACAAGATCCTTGCTGATCCAGATGATGACACCAAAGGTTTCTTTGATCCCAACACACAAGAAAACCTCACATACCTGCAGCTAGTCGAGCGTTGTGTGAGAGATCCTAACACTGGCCTGAGCCTTCTCGTAATTGTGAAAAAGGGAGAGTACTACTTCTTCATTGATGAACATACAAAGAACATCCTTAAGTCTACAACAACAAAGAAAGCAGGAGGTAAATTCCAAGGGCAGCTGGTGACCCTGTGGGATCTGCTGTACTCCAGTTATATATCTGAGGAAAAGAAAAGAGAACTGGTGCAACAGTTTAAATCAGGCACTATAACTATTAAACAATTCCTAGAAATTGTTCTAACACTGGTGTCGCAGAAATCCGTAACAAGTACCCACACCATTACCTCCACCACCACAACAGAAACAACCCAAAATACAAATTTTCAAGGTATCAGAAAGGATGTGAGTGCTGATGAATTGCTGCAATCCAAAGTCATTGATGAGAAAATTTACAAAGACCTGACTTCTGGAAAAGTCACAGTTGATCATGTAAGCAAAATGGACTCTGTGCGAAAATACCTGAAAGGAACAAACAGCATTGCTGGTGTATTTGTGCAGTCTACCAAACAGACAATGAGCATCTTCGAAGCCAAAAATAAGGGACTACTGACACCTGGAACATCTCTGGTTTTGCTTGAGGCTCAGGCTGCCACAGGCTTTGTTATCGACCCTGTGAAAAATAAAAAGCTGTCTGTAGAGCAAGCAGTGTCTGAAGGGATTGTTGGAGTGGAATGGAAAAACAAACTGCTCTCTGCTGAACGGGCAGTCACAGGTTACACTGATCCCAACACAGGAAAAATAATTTCCTTGTTCCAGGCCTTGAAAAAAGATCTAATTGTCAAGGAACATGGTATTCGTCTGTTAGAAGCTCAGATTGCTACAGGGGGCATCATTGATCCAGTGTACAGCCATCGTGTTCCAGTAGAGGTGGCTTACCAAAGAAGCTACTTTGATGAGGAGATGAACAAGATCCTTTCTGATCCAGATGATGACACCAAAGGTTTCTTTGATCCCAACACACAAGAAAACCTCACATACCTGCAGCTAGTCGAGCGTTGTGTGAGAGATCCTAACACTGGCCTGAGCCTTCTCGTAATTGTGAAAAAGGGAGAGTACTACTTCTTTATTGATGAACATACAAAGAACATTCTTAAGTCCACAACCACAAAGAAAGCAGGAGGTAAATACCAAGGGCAGCTGGTGACCCTGTGGGATCTGCTGTACTCCAGTTATATATCTGAGGAAAAGAGAAGAGAACTGGTGCAACAGTTTAAATCAGGCACTATAACTATTGAACAATTCCTAGAAATTGTTCTAACACTGGTGTCACAGAAATCCGTAACAAGTACCCACACCATTACCACCACCACCACAACAGAAACAACCCAAAATACAAATTTTCAAGGTATCAGAAAGGATGTGAGTGCTGATGAATTGCTGCAATCCAAAGTCATTGATGAGAAAATTTACAAAGACCTGACTTCTGGAAAAGTCACAGTTGATCATGTAAGCAAAATGGACTCTGTGCGAAAATACCTGAAAGGAACAAACAGCATTGCTGGTGTATTTGTGCAGTCTACCAAACAGACAATGAGCATCTTCGAAGCCAAAAATAAGGGACTACTGACACCTGGAACATCTCTGGTTTTGCTTGAGGCTCAGGCTGCCACAGGCTTTGTTATCGACCCTGTGAAAAATAAAAAGCTGTCTGTAGAGCAAGCAGTGTCTGAAGGGATTGTTGGAGTGGAATGGAAAAACAAACTGCTCTCTGCTGAACGGGCAGTCACAGGTTACACTGATCCCAACACAGGAAAAATAATTTCCTTGTTCCAGGCCTTGAAAAAAGATCTAATTGTCAAGGAACATGGTATTCGTCTACTAGAGGCTCAGATTGCTACAGGGGGCATCATTGATCCAGTGTACAGCCATCGTGTTCCAGTAGAGGTGGCTTACCAAAGAGGCTACTTTGATGAGGAGATGAACAAGATCCTTTCTGATCCAGATGATGACACCAAATGTTTCTTTGATCCCAACACACAAGAAAACCTCACATACCTGCAGCTAGTCGAGCGTTGTGTGAGAGATCCTAACACTGGCCTGAGCCTTCTCGTAATTGTGAAAAAGGGAGAGTACTACTTCTTCATTGATGAACATACAAAGAACATTCTTAAGTCCACAACCACAAAGAAAGCAGGAGGTAAATACCAAGGGCAGCTGGTGACCCTGTGGGATCTGCTGTACTCCAGTTATATATCTGAGGAAAAGAGAAGAGAACTGGTGCAACAGTTTAAATCAGGCACTATAACTATTGAACAATTCCTAGAAATTGTTCTAACACTGGTGTCACAGAAATCCGTAACAAGTACCCACACCATTACCACCACCACTACAACAGAAACAACCCAAAATACAAATTTTCAAGGTATCAGAAAGGATGTGAGTGCTGATGAATTGCTGCAATCCAAAGTCATTGATGAGAAAATTTACAAAGACCTGACTTCTGGAAAAGTCACAGTTGATCATGTAAGCAAAATGGACTCTGTGCGAAAATACCTGAAAGGAACAAACAGCATTGCTGGTGTATTTGTGCAGTCTACCAAACAGACAATGAGCATCTTCGAAGCCAAAAATAAGGGACTACTGACACCTGGAACATCTCTGGTTTTGCTTGAGGCTCAGGCTGCCACAGGCTTTGTTATCGACCCTGTGAAAAATAAAAAGCTGTCTGTAGAGCAAGCAGTGTCTGAAGGGATTGTTGGAGTGGAATGGAAAAACAAACTGCTCTCTGCTGAACGGGCAGTCACAGGTTACACTGATCCCAACACAGGAAAAATAATTTCCTTGTTCCAGGCCTTGAAAAAAGATCTAATTGTCAAGGAACATGGTATTCGTCTGTTAGAAGCTCAGATCGCCACTGGGGGCATCATTGATCCCATATACAGCCATCGTGTTCCAGTAGAGGTGGCTTACCAAAGAGGCTACTTTGATGAGGAGATGAACAAGATCCTTGCTGATCCAGATGATGACACCAAAGGTTTCTTTGATCCCAACACACAAGAAAACCTCACATACCTGCAGCTAGTCGAGCGTTGTGTGAGAGATCCTAACACTGGCCTGAGCCTTCTCGTAATTGTGAAAAAGGGAGAGTACTACTTCTTCATTGATGAACATACAAAGAACATCCTTAAGTCTACAACAACAAAGAAAGCAGGAGGTAAATTCCAAGGGCAGCTGGTGACCCTGTGGGATCTGCTGTACTCCAGTTATATATCTGAGGAAAAGAAAAGAGAACTGGTGCAACAGTTTAAATCAGGCACTATAACTATTAAACAATTCCTAGAAATTGTTCTAACACTGGTGTCGCAGAAATCCGTAACAAGTACCCACACCATTACCTCCACCACCACAACAGAAACAACCCAAAATACAAATTTTCAAGGTATCAGAAAGGATGTGAGTGCTGATGAATTGCTGCAATCCAAAGTCATTGATGAGAAAATTTACAAAGACCTGACTTCTGGAAAAGTCACAGTTGATCATGTAAGCAAAATGGACTCTGTGCGAAAATACCTGAAAGGAACAAACAGCATTGCTGGTGTATTTGTGCAGTCTACCAAACAGACAATGAGCATCTTCGAAGCCAAAAATAAGGGACTACTGACACCTGGAACATCTCTGGTTTTGCTTGAGGCTCAGGCTGCCACAGGCTTTGTTATCGACCCTGTGAAAAATAAAAAGCTGTCTGTAGAGCAAGCAGTGTCTGAAGGGATTGTTGGAGTGGAATGGAAAAACAAACTGCTCTCTGCTGAACGGGCAGTCACAGGTTACACTGATCCCAACACAGGAAAAATAATTTCCTTGTTCCAGGCCTTGAAAAAAGATCTAATTGTCAAGGAACATGGTATTCGTCTGTTAGAAGCTCAGATTGCTACAGGGGGCATCATTGATCCAGTGTACAGCCATCGTGTTCCAGTAGAGGTGGCTTACCAAAGAAGCTACTTTGATGAGGAGATGAACAAGATCCTTGCTGATCCAGATGATGACACCAAAGGTTTCTTTGATCCCAACACACAAGAAAACCTCACATACCTGCAGCTAGTCGAGCGTTGTGTGAGAGATCCTAACACTGGCCTGAGCCTTCTCGTAATTGTGAAAAAGGGAGAGTACTACTTCTTTATTGATGAACATACAAAGAACATTCTTAAGTCCACAACCACAAAGAAAGCAGGAGGTAAATACCAAGGGCAGCTGGTGACCCTGTGGGATCTGCTGTACTCCAGTTATATATCTGAGGAAAAGAGAAGAGAACTGGTGCAACAGTTTAAATCAGGCACTATAACTATTGAACAATTCCTAGAAATTGTTCTAACACTGGTGTCGCAGAAATCCGTAACAAGTACCCACACCATTACCTCCACCACCACAACAGAAACAACCCAAAATACAAATTTTCAAGGTATCAGAAAGGATGTGAGTGCTGATGAATTGCTGCAATCCAAAGTGATTGATGAGAAAATTTACAAAGACCTGACTTCTGGAAAAGTCACAGTTGATCATGTAAGCAAAATGGACTCTGTGCGAAAATACCTGAAAGGAACAAACAGCATTGCTGGTGTATTTGTGCAGTCTACCAAACAGACAATGAGCATCTTCGAAGCCAAAAATAAGGGACTACTGACACCTGGAACATCTCTGGTTTTGCTTGAGGCTCAGGCTGCCACAGGCTTTGTTATCGACCCTGTGAAAAATAAAAAGCTGTCTGTAGAGCAAGCAGTGTCTGAAGGGATTGTTGGAGTGGAATGGAAAAACAAACTGCTTTCTGCTGAACGGGCAGTCACAGGTTACACTGATCCCAACACAGGAAAAATAATTTCCTTGTTCCAGGCCTTGAAAAAAGATCTAATTGTCAAGGAACATGGTATTCGTCTACTAGAGGCTCAGATTGCTACAGGGGGCATCATTGATCCAGTGTACAGCCATCGTGTTCCAGTAGAGGTGGCTTACCAAAGAGGCTACTTTGATGAGGAGATGAACAAGATCCTTTCTGATCCAGATGATGACACCAAAGGTTTCTTTGATCCCAACACACAAGAAAACCTCACATACCTGCAGCTAGTCGAGCGTTGTGTGAGAGATCCTAACACTGGCCTGAGCCTTCTCGTAATTGTGAAAAAGGGAGAGTACTACTTCTTCATTGATGAACATACAAAGAACATTCTTAAGTCCACAACCACAAAGAAAGCAGGAGGTAAATACCAAGGGCAGCTGGTGACCCTGTGGGATCTGCTGTACTCCAGTTATATATCTGAGGAAAAGAGAAGAGAACTGGTGCAACAGTTTAAATCAGGCACTATAACTATTGAACAATTCCTAGAAATTGTTCTAACACTGGTGTCACAGAAATCCGTAACAAGTACCCACACCATTACCACCACCACCACAACAGAAACAACCCAAAATACAAATTTTCAAGGTATCAGAAAGGATGTGAGTGCTGATGAATTGCTGCAATCCAAAGTCATTGATGAGAAAATTTACAAAGACCTGACTTCTGGAAAAGTCACAGTTGATCATGTAAGCAAAATGGACTCTGTGCGAAAATACCTGAAAGGAACAAACAGCATTGCTGGTGTATTTGTGCAGTCTACCAAACAGACAATGAGCATCTTCGAAGCCAAAAATAAGGGACTACTGACACCTGGAACATCTCTGGTTTTGCTTGAGGCTCAGGCTGCCACAGGCTTTGTTATCGACCCTGTGAAAAATAAAAAGCTGTCTGTAGAGCAAGCAGTGTCTGAAGGGATTGTTGGAGTGGAATGGAAAAACAAACTGCTCTCTGCTGAACGGGCAGTCACAGGTTACACTGATCCCAACACAGGAAAAATAATTTCCTTGTTCCAGGCCTTGAAAAAAGATCTAATTGTCAAGGAACATGGTATTCGTCTACTAGAGGCTCAGATTGCTACAGGGGGCATCATTGATCCAGTGTACAGCCATCGTGTTCCAGTAGAGGTGGCTTACCAAAGAGGCTACTTTGATGAGGAGATGAACAAGATCCTTTCTGATCCAGATGATGACACCAAAGGTTTCTTTGATCCCAACACACAAGAAAACCTAACATACCTGCTGCTTGTAGAACGCTGTGTTAAAGACCCAAAAACTGGGCTAAGTCTGCTTGTTTTGAAAAAGTAGATTTAAAATCAGAGGCATCATGCCATTTAAGCTATTCTTGCTTTTATCAACTCCAATCACTATGTTTCTATGTATGCTAGAAATATGCCAATAATACATCATAATCTATAAATGCTTGATTTAAGTGGTTATTATTTCCTTACAAATGTGCAGTGCTAAATTCTTAAATCATCAGTAAAATGTACATTTGTGAATGCTATTTGTTAAAGAGTGTTGTTAAATTTAGCATTTAACCATTTTAACTCATGCTTTTTTGCCACATTCAAAACATTTAAATAAACATACAGTTGTAATATATCTTTTTATTTGATCTTTTTTCAAGTTTCACTATAAAGATGTTTTCTATTTAAAAAGGATTGGTAAAATTACCATTTACAACATTTATTGCATACCAGCACATGGACATAGAAAAAATAGTAGTAGCAGAGTAGGGTAGAAGAGATATACAGGCATGTATGAAAATGTCACCAGCAAGTGTATCAATAACTTCAAAGTGGCTTTAGATTTATACACAAAAAATCAGCAGTCCATACACTTCAATCCAATTTGTCAAGGAGCAGCTGAATGTCTTCTTGACCATGATATAAACGTTTGAGTCCTCTGGGCAGATAACGGCAGGAAGACAGATTCAAGTACTTCAGAGCTGGTGCCTGGTTTATTAGTAACCTGCAAAACGAAATATCACAACATCTTAATCAATATACTGAAATAAAGGAAAAGTCTTAATTTCTCTATTAACTTATAAATAATAAAAAAGAACTTTTACTGGGTGGTGAACCTTCTGAAAGGATATGTGTTTGTCAAACTTCAATGTCATAATTACCTGAGTGCTGAAGAAGTGATTTTTGTACCACTAAGGTTCAGGGAGCGAAAAAATTCAACTCCAACACTGTGTGCAAGATGTCCCATTGCAATCTCTAAATCTTCTTCTGAAAATGGCTGGTTGGCCAAATCAAGCTCTCTGAGGGTGTTGCTCCATTTCTGGGCAAGCATGTGAATGCCTTTCTTAGATGCTACCATGGTATTGCTGTTAAAATACAAGCCCCAATAAAAACACTCCAGCCCTACACAAAAGAAGGGTGGAAATTAGGAAAATCAGCATTTTACTGTAACCCAGAAATCAAGTTATTAATGTTAAAGGAATAGTAGCCCAAAAATGAAAAGCATATCACTATTTGTTCTCCCTCAAGTGGTTCCTCTGCATTTTTTTTTTTTTTGAACACAAAAGATGTGTAGAGAAAATCTAGAAAGTAGAGACAATCAAATAATATGAAAGCCAATGGTTACCAGTTTCCAGTTTTATTCAAAATATCTTGTTTTGCTTCTAACAGAACAAAGAAACTCAAAGGTTTGAAGCAAAGAGTGAGTAAATAATGACGATTTTCATTTTTGGGTGAGGTCTAAGAGCTAATAGCTGTGTATGGTTTACATTAACAATAATGAGGTCTTATATTAAAATAACTTACTCTCACAAGGCAAAGCATAGAGGCCAGTGGGTGTGATGCGGGAACCTCCACGTAGGTCCAGCACACGCAGATTGGGGGAGCCATGGAGCACATTGTTCAGGTCATTGTCAGTCATAAAGGAGTGAAAGGAAGTGGCAATGCACAGCTCCTCTAGCATGGGAAACCCACATGTTGAACTGGGGATGTTGCGGATCATTTTAGGAACTGCAGTGACATTCATCAACCTAAAAGTCTAAATATTACAAAATAATAATAACAGAAGAACAATCGGTTATTTACCCCAAACTGCAACTCAAAATTCATTCATTTATTCAATTTCCTTCGGGTTAGTCCCTTTATTCATCAGGAGCAGCCACAATGGAATGAACCGCCAACACATCCAGCATATGTTTTATACATTGGATGCCATTCAACTGCAACCCAGTATTGGGAAACACCAACACACTCTCAAATGCACATACACTATGGCCAACTTAGTTTATTCAGTTTACCTATAGCGCATGTCTTTAGACTGAGGGGGAAACCTGAGCACGCGGAGGAAACCCATGTGAACATGAGGAGAATATGCAAACTCCACACAGAAATGCCAACTTGTCAAGCCAGGACTCGGACCAGCAACCTTTTTAAACTTTTTAAATTCTTGATTGTGAAGTTTTCAGTTCAAAGACCTTGCAAGTGAATGTATTGCTCCGACTAAATTTATTTCACACTGTTACTGATAACTGATTTGAATATATTTGCCTTTGTTTATTAAAGTAATACGCCCAAGAAGTCAATGTTTACCAGTTAATTTGTAATAGATAAAGGGCGCTGTTATTAGGCACGACACAATCTGCAAATAAATTCATATACATAGCAATGTTTAATAAAACAAAGCAAATGAAAAAGTTTGTTTGGCTCAGTGATGATAGTAGAATAGATGCTAAGCAACTGCAGGTGTACATGTGTATATTTGTAGTGAAATCTACAACAGTTTTGAACACCAAGTAGAATCAATTAAATATCCATTTTATAAACTACCAGTCAAAAGTTTGGGGTCAGTTTTTCCTTCTTTTTTCAAACAAAATTATTCTGTTCATCATTCATGCATTTATTAAATGCAAAAAATATAAAATGGTCTGTAGTTTCAAATTAAATTAGTACTCCAGTCATTATTATATAATATTAATAATGATATTAATATTCATATATATATATATATATATATATATATATATATATATATATATATATATATATATATATATATATATATATATATATATATATATATATATATATATATATATATATATATTAATAATATATTACATATATATTCATTCATTCATTTTCTTGTCGGCTTAGTCCCTTTATTAATCCGGGGTCGCCACAGAGGAATGAACCGCCAACTTATCCAGCAAGTTTTTACACAGCGGATGCCCTTCCAGCCGCAACCCATCTCTGGGAAACATACACACACACACAAACTCATACACTATGGACAATTTAGCCAACCCAATTCACCTGTACCACATGTATTTGGACTGTGGGGGAAACCGGAGCACCCGGAGGAAACCCACGCGAATGCAGGGAGAACATGCAAACTCCACACAGAAACGCAAACTTAGCCGAGGATTGAACCAGCGACCTTCTTGCTGTGAGGCGACAGCACTACCTACTGCGCCAAAACATGTAACAGGAAATGTAATTGAAAAGAAAATACCATAACAGCCATTACCTCATCCATGGTTAAACCAACAAATAATAAAATACCATTGTGAACATTATAAACCCCACCACCACTGTTCTTTTTGAAGGACAATGAATAGACAGAATAAAATCAAATAATATTTCAAAGAACTGTTCTACTTCTGATAGAACTTCTTTCTAATGCACAGAATTCCAAAAACTAAAATTAACTAAATAAAACTAAATAAACCCCTGACTGGGAGATCTGGCAGAACAAAAGTTACATTCTATATAATACTAAAAGATACAGCCCTGCTATTGTCATCTGCCTGCTTTTTATGTTTTTATTCAATTTTTTTTTTATTTTTTACATTTTTAGTTTTATATTTGAAACTGACTTGCCGGGGCAGAATGTGGCTGTGTTGATGGTTTGGTGCCTGTGGAGGATTTAGCAGAACATGGCTGTGCTGATGAGGGGATTGATGCTTGTGGGGGGTTGGCAGACAGTACCAGAAGAGGATGCTTAAAGTGCATATGATTATGCATTCCATAGAGGGTGGCGTGCTGGCACAGTGGGTAGCCCTGTTGCCTCACAGCAAGAAGGTCACTGGTTCGAGCCTCGGATGGGTCAGTTGGCATGTTCAAACACATGCAATATAGGTGAATTGGGTAAGCTAAATTGTCCGTAGTGTATGATTGTGAATAAGAGAGTATGGATGTTTCCCAGTGCTGGGAAGCAGCTGGAAGGGCATCCACTGCGTAAAACATATGCTGGATAAATTAGTGGTTCATTCCACTGTGGCAACCCCAGATTAATAAAGGGACAAAGACGAAAAGAAAATGAATGAATAATTATGAATATGTTGACAGATATTTGATATCTCTGCCTCCGCTGATTTCACTTTTGCACACATTACATACAGTATCACTTTGTTTTATCTGCAGCACCACTGACTGTAAAATGCTTCCACACAGAACCTGAGCAAGTTTTTTTTTAAATCCATGTGAGGAGTTTCAAGTTAATAAGTGAAGGTTAACTAGCCCATAGCATATATCTTGCTGTCTGGAAAAGCTACGTAAACAGACAGCACCCAACTGCAGACACACCATTGTTATACAATAACATATATAATTTAGGGGGGCTAATAATTCTGACTTCAACTATATCTATCTATCTATCTATCTATCTATCTATCTATCTATCTATCTATCTATCTATCTATCTATCTATCTATCTATCTATCTATCTATCTATCTATCTATCTATCTATCTATCTATCTATATATATATATATATATATATATATATATATATATATATATATATATATATATATATATATATATATATATATATATATATATATAGGTTAATAATAAAATATTAATTTTTATCAAAAAAAAAAAAAACATCCTCAAAAGATAACAAGAATCCTGATAGCATTTTGCAATGAATAACCAAAGCAAGTTTAATACAAAAGCATTGTTTATGAGGCCAATTCCAAAAAATCTGATCAACAGTTTTGTTGGGTATATTACAGAAAGAGCAGCATGTATCTATATCCGACTTCAATTCTTCCAAAAATGTCTTGGCTGGATAAAATCTGTGGAATAGTCTAAACTAAATTTCTCTAATTATGTAAGTTGTTATCTATTTTACAGACAAAGGGCTCTATTTTCACGATCCATGCGCAAAGTGCAGGTCGCAAACGCATTTAGGGCGTGTCAGAATCCACTTTTGCTAATATAAGGATGAAAAAATCCGCTTTGCGCCGTGGCGCATGGTTGAGCTTATTTTCTTAATGAGTTATAGGTGTGTTTTGGGAATAAACCAATCCGAGTCTCATCTCCCATTCCCTTTAAGAGCCAGATGCATCGCGCCATAGCGCATTTGCTATTTACATTATGACTTTGTAAGTGGAAAAACTGAGCATTTCACTAGCAAGAAAACAGCTAAACAGAGCACCCTCACCTCTCACGCCCTCAGTTATATCCGCGTCTAAGGCGGCATCCGCGACACTACCCTCACCACCCACGCCCTAAGTTATATCCGCGTCTAGGGCAGCAGAATAGAGATCGCGGCGTCCGCGACAGCTCCCTTGCGTATTGCTCTACATCTTGTGTGTATTAAGCAGTGTGTAAGCCAGGCGCACAACTAAC